AGATGATGAATTTGTGTCTCATTTTTATGTACCCCAATATTTGCATGATTTACTTCATGCAGATAACATTTGTTCAAGCTAAAGTAATAAAATTAGTTGATTGAAAAAAAAAAAACACTATATGGAGATTCGAGAATAGATAGTGGATAAAAGGAGTCGAATGGGAGGACGAAGCTCTGTAATTAGTCAATGACTTCCGTCAGTATCTCTGAGACTCTATCTTTTGTTGATCAAATGGCGTGCATTGGATATAAACCTGATATTATAACCCTTACCTCAGATCATTGATAGTCGTTCTAAAATTTGCAATCAATTGTGGCCGATGTTCTAACTTGAGCGACACGTTTGATGAAATTCCATTAAAAGTCTCTACCATTTCCATGTCTAAAGGAAATCCGAGAAATTGTGTCCAGAAAAAGCCTCCACTCGATTCCAAATAAAAAAGGTGAAAGTGGACTCTTTATAAGCTACAGTCTGAATGGAAGGACCAAGCTACTGAAACCCGCTTCTATCTTCATGCTAAAAGGTTTAATTTTTCTATCTACTCTTGTTTCCTTCAAAGGATTTGTTTTTCAGGTTACGAACTTTGTCCATGTTTAATGCCTCTGTCTTTTCATGTGTTAGATTTGATTATAAGCACACAACGGTCAGCCAAGTGGGCTTCTCAAGCTGCAAGTTCCAAGTGGATGATATGCTTTCTGTAAATTCGATATCTTTCTCTCTATGTGTGTTTGTTGTTGGTAAAGTCTCTCCCTGTCTGTTGCTTTATGCAAATTGCTTTTTTTATTTGGTCGACATTAATTTGGTATTATGGTCCGTTTGTAATTAGTATTATAAAAATAATTTCTTTTGTAAAAATATTTTAACCGCGTCAACTAAACACTAAACACCAAACCATAAATCCAAATTTTAAATGTTAAACTTGTTGATAAACCATAAATCCTTAGTTAAATCATAAATCTTTGGATAAATCTTAAACGCTAAATCAAAAACACTAAACACTAAATTAAAAAAAAAACACTAAAACTTTAATCCTAACTCCTTCTAGAAATATAAATAAAATTTAAAATATTTTTAAATACTAAATACTAAATCAGTTTTAAACACTAAATTCTAAACCTTTGATTATCCAGACTCGTCCATAGATCAGAGGCCCAGACGGCTCCGTATCCTTATCCATCTGCGGCAAAGCATATCTTATTTATATACTCTCCTTGTGTTTATCCTTATTGTTGTAGTTATCTTAATCCATATGGGATTAAGATTATCTCCTTGTTGTAATCCTTATCACTTTAGGATTAGGTTTATCTCTAGTTTAATGACGGTGTATGTACCCATATATATAGTGGTCGATATCATTAATAAAAGATACAAGTTACAACCTTCGATTCCTAACACGTTATCAGAACGATCGTCCAAACCCTAAATTAAAAAAAAAAAATCCGACCTCCATCAAGAAACCCTAGCCGTCTCTCTCTCATCATTGGTGTGATATTCAAGTATCTGCAACTCAATCTCAACTTCAACTTATAAGCTGCAAGACAACAGAAAAAGTTCCTAAAGCAATCCGACTAAACTCTCCTTGCATCCAAAGCTTGCGCCCTAAGGAGGTCCATTCAGATCCACTGGCGATTAAGGAACAAACTGATAAACCCTAAAACATAGATTAATGAAACCTCCTAATCTATGTCGAATCTGGTGTGTTTAAGAACTCAAACTTAATCCTCTAAAACCTCAAGTCATGCGCATGAGTGCAATCCGCATTCAAAAGCATGATTTATCTAAAAACCCTAATTTGCTCATCTCGAAATCTTTGCTTGCTAAATCCGTTTCTTTATATGATTTTGTCAAGATGTTTATGTTGAATATTTGAGTGATTCAACCTGATAGATTTCGGGATTTATGTTTGGTAATATATCTTGTTAAAACCCTAATTGTTTAAAGCATGCTTCTTGTTGTTATTAATAATCCGATTGCTAGATCCCTTTGATTGCTTGTTTAAAATTGTTTAGGCTGCTAAAATATGATAGTTTTTATTGCAATTTTATCATCCTGAGACTATATGATTGTTTGATCACTAGAATAATAAGATCTGAGGTTTAGAATCTGTTTTTTTTAAACCCTAATTGCATGAACCCTAGATCCGATTTATGAATGTGGTAAACCCTAATTCTAGGATTGATAAATTTATGACCTATGATTGATATAGTATGCTTGTATGATCCGCCTAAATGTATAGATATTGAGAATGCTTGCTAGGTTGGTAGTTCACATGATTAGAATTTAATAAAATGTTCAAAACCCTAGTTCTCTTTTTGATTGCATAATCCGACTAGGTTTAGGTTTTTTCCTAAAAATAAATTCGACAAAAACTTATTTAAGTCTTGATAGTCTCTAGTAAAACCTGATCATCCTAAGACTATGTTTTGTTTGACCTAATTTTTTTTAGAATCAAAACCGTTTGTATTGATAAGTTGATCATTGAAACCCTAAACCTAATTTTGTATGATCCAATTTCTATGATGCTTGCAATGCTTGAATTTTTTTAATCCTCTGATTGCATGATCATTCTAAATTTTTTTAAGAATAATAAATCTGATATTAGGTTAAGAATGTTCACTTTGGTTTCACCTTGAAAAAAAAATCGGCCAATATAGTCTAAAACCCTAATTAGGTTACATGATCTTGTAAGTTCCTAAACCTAATTGTGTATTGCGGTTTTACTTGACCTTCTTGTTGCTTGATCACATGATTCATATAGAATTCATATGCTAGGTCTGATTGCATCATATTTTTTTAAAGAAAAATCAGGTAATTGATTGCATCTATGAACCTAAACCCTAAAATCCGATTTCAGACCTAAATTATAGTTGATTGATCATATTTGCGGTTTTGGTAGTTGCTTATTGAATGATTGGTCTATTTTGGTGTATTGAAAGCCAAGACTGTTATTTTATTTTAGGAAAATGAAACCCTAAAAGTATGGGCCTTGAAACCCTAAATCCCTAAAATTTGAATTAGAAGCATTAAGGGCCTTGAAGCCATATTTTCGAATTTGAACCTCTAAAAGGGCCTTGAAAGCCTAATTTAATAAAATCATATGATTGTTTGAGTTTTGAGATTCATTGATTGATCTATCTCGATGAGAGCTAAGATGATAGAATACTTGATAAATCTAAAGGGCCTTGAAACCCTAGGTGTATAATTCTACTGATCATCAAGACTTGTTTGCTTATTAAGCGTATGGCCGTGTGGCCTTGTTTGTGTCTTGATAGTATGGCCGTGTAGCCTTATTTGCAACATGGTCGAAATCTGTGTGGCTTATTGCAATTTGTATGGCCGTGTAGTCTTAGGTTCGCTATAAGTTTGTTTGCATCATGTGATAGATATCCGTATGGATTATACATATTCATGTGCCCATGTGGTCTAATAATACACCATACCCGAGTGGCCGTGTGGCCTTATACTCATTATCAAAGAGATTACTTGTTTGATTGATGCATTGGTCACATTCACATATAAAAACCGATTCAATGTTCTGAATGAGAGTTAAGATTGCTAGTCTTGTTTGATAAACCCTAATTGGATGACTTATAACCTTGGCCGTGTAGACTTATTTGCAATATGGCCGAGTAGTAAATTATTTTGGTCGAGAGACTTGTGAATCAATATGCATTGATTATTTGAATTGGTTACATGAATTCTAAATCTTGAATTGATTGATAATATGATTTCAGATGTCGAAATATGAGAATTATGATGTCCTAAATCTCTCTGGAGATAATTGGTTGGAATGGGCAATGAACATTTCAGTTCTCCTGATGTCTAGAGGACTCGAAAGGAGTATCATTCAGGGTGATTATGCAACTGAAAGTGAAAACTATAGGGCCATAACAATTATGCGCCATCATCTCACTGAGGATCTGAGAAATCAGTACCTACATATAGAGAATCCTCGTGACCTTTGGACACAATTAAAATCCAGATACACAATTGTGTTATTACCAAAGGTCAGGCATGAATGGACGAGTCTCAGATTCCAAGACTTTGAGTCTGTGGAGGAATATCATTTGGTTTTGACCTAAATCACTTACAAACTGAGACTATGTGGTGAAGAGGTAACAGATGAGGATTTTCTGTTCAAAACATACTCAAAATATGTTCAGGATATGTTACGACATATGCAAAGAGGTTTCACCACCTATAGTGACCTGCTTTCATGCCTATTGATATGTGAGAAGAATAATGAGATGCTAAAGCAAAGCAGTGAGATGAGACTTCCAGAAGCCAAAATGGCCGCGGTAGATAAGGAGGAATACAATGTGGCCGTGTCCAAAGTAATGGATGGAGTGGCCGGCTTGTCTATTGACTCCAATGTGGCCGTGTCCAAGATAACGGATGGTGTGGCCGATATGTCTATTGACTACGAAAATAAGATTTTGACATCCTGATTTTGTGTTAAGTTTTTATAATTTGCTTTGAAAAGCTTGTCATTCACGAATTCTTTTATAATAATAGCATTTTTTAGAGTTCATTTTTATTGCTATGATACCTTGTCTGATTTTGCTTGGTAATGTGAATGATTTTGATTGATAAAAATGCCAAACATGAGTACATATGGTCGGGTATAGTAGCCTAATTAAAGACTACGGCCAAGGCATTGTCTAAAAGGAATTATATACACCCAAGAATTTCGTGACCCATTGAGTATATATAAGAATGGTTTCCAAATAGAAACAATGGGCAAAAAAAAGGAAACAAAAGGTT